CTGACCGGGAATCGAACCCCGATCTCCTGGATCCCAGGTCGATGCTCAACTGCTGGGCCACATCTGGCCGGGCGTATGTTGGAATTTTAAAATTAACTTCCAGGTGGGTATTTCTGATTATCTAAAAAGAGAGAATAGCCATGTTCTTTGGAACCCCAGAACCCCACTTCTTTTTTACCCATGAATTTTGTGGACTATGCTAGACCTAACCTAGAACTAGCCCTTCTTAGCCTTCTCCCATCCTTCCTGTCTATAGCTAATGTAAAATTTTCAGAATGGCTTACATATTTCTCCCCCCTATTTGATGTACAAAAACACTTGCAAAACTCTGGGACAGTGCACATATTTGTCTTTTCTACCTACCCATGCTGCTGTGGTTTACACTCCATGTCCTAAACCAATATTTTTTTTTTGCTAGCAATAGCCTAATAACCCTTTCTTTTAAAAAGACTTTCAGCCTCGCCAGTGTGGCTCAGTTGGTTGTGTATCATTGCATGCACCAGGAAACAACCTGTAAAGTATAAGAGAACATCAATAAGATCGACAGCTTACTTTTATTTTATCTTTATTGTTGAAAATATTACAAATGTCATTTTTTGCCCATTAATCCCCTCCACCCTGTACTCCTCCCCCCAGGCCTTCACCCCACTATTGTATGTGTCCGTGGGTTATGCAGATATGCATATAAGTTCTTAGGTTAATTTCTTCCCACCCACCCCCACCTTCCCTCTGACACTTGCCAGTCTGTTCCATGCTTCTATGTCTCTGGATCTATTTTGTTCATCAGTTTATTTTGTTCATTAAATTCCACATATGAGTAAGAAGATCAGGTGAGACTTGTGTTTCTCTGACTGGCTTAGTTTAGCTTAGCATAATACTCTCTAGGTCCCACCATGCTGTCTCAAAGGATAGGGATCCTTCTTTTATATAGCTGCATAATAGTCCATGGTGTAAATGTCCAAGATGATGCTTGATATGATTTCAGTCTTCTTGAACTTGTAGAGACTTGTTTTGTGTCCTAACATGTGGTCTGTCTTTGAGAATGTCCCATGTGCAATTGAGGAGAATGCCTATTCTGCAGCTTTGGAGTGGAATGTTCTGTAAATGTCAATTAAATCCATCTGATCTAGTGTGTTATTTAGAGTCACTGTTTCTGTGTTTTTTTTTTATCTGGAAGACCTATCCAGTAAAGTCAGTGGGGTGTTAAAGTCCCCTAATATGACTGTATTGCTGTTGATCTATCCTTTAAAATCCTCAAGAAGTTTTTTGGTTTTTCTTTTCCAGCCTGTGTGAGTCTTTTGTTCTGAGGTGGGTCTCTTGTAGACAGCATATATTTGGGACTTGTTTTCTTATCCATTCAGCTACCCTATGCCCTTTGATTGGGCCATTTAACCCATTTATATTAAAGGTTATTATTGATGGGTACTTATATATTGCCATTTCATTTCTTTATGCCTATGTTTCTCATTCTATTTCAACTTCTTATTGCAGCAGTCTCTTTAACATTTCTTGCAATGCTGGTTTGGTGGTAATAAACTCCTGTAGCCTTTTTTCTTGTCTGGAAAGCTCTTTATTTCACCGTCTATTTTGAATGATAGCCTTTCTGGATAGTCTTGGTTTCAGATTCTTGCTTTTCATTACCTTGAATACTTCATGCCATTCCCTTCTGGCTTGTAGAGTTTCTGATAAGAAATCAACTGACAGCCTTATGGGAGCTCCTTTGTAGGTAACAGATTGCTTTTCTGTTGCTGCCTTTAAGATTCTCTCTGTCTTGAATTTTTGGCATTTTAATTATGTGTCTTGTTGCAGGCCTTTTTGGGTTCTTGCCTGGGACTCTCTGTGCCTCCTGAAATTGTGTGACTTTTTCCTTGAGCAGGTTAGGGAAGTTTTCTGCCATTATTTCTTCAAACAGGTTCTCTATCCCTTGCTTAATTTCAACATCTTCTGGCACTCCTATGATGTGAATATTGTTACATTTCATGTTATCCCACAGCTCCCTTAAACTGTCTTCCTGTCTTTTTTTTTTTTTTTTTTTTTTTTAATATCTTTATTGATTTCAGAGAGAGGAATGGAGAGGGAGAGAGACANTTTTTTTTTTTGGTTCTCTGATTTTTTTTCTGCCCTGCCTTCTAATTTGCTGATCTGATCCTCAGCTTCCCCTAATCTGCTGTTCATTCCTTCCAATGTATTTTTTATTTCTACTATGTCATTCTTAATTTCCTTCATAGTTTCTATATCTTTTTTCATGCTTTTGAGCATCCTTATGATCAGTATTCTGAACTCTGTATCTGATAGGTTGCTTATCTCCATTTCACTTAGCTCTTCTTCTGGAGAATTCTTTTGTTTTCTCATTTGGGGCTTGTTTTTTTGTCTCCTCATTTGGGCTGCCTGTTTGGATTTGTTTCCATGTATTAAATAGATCTGCTAGGAATCCCAGTCTTTTGGATGGTCTCTGGTGCAGGCCAATGTCAGATGCTGTTTGTGACTGGCCTTGAGTACCCTGTTTGAAGTTTTCCACAGTCCACAGCTTCTGGTTTCCTCTGCTGGGGCTGGGTGTGTTTGAACAGGACCAAGACGTGCACCAAGGTCTGCTTTTCCAAGCCCTGGGTCCAGAAGCAAATCAGGCAAAGACTCAAAGCACCCAGAGGCTGTTATTCAATCTCTTAATGAGCCTCATGTTGTAGGGACTCCACAGGGTGGAGGGCCTGATTGTTGTCAGTCTCTTAAGGAGCCTCATACTGTAGAAACTCCACAGGGTGGGGTCAGAGGTTTTCCAGCAGGGTGGGGCAATTGCTTCCCCCTGTGCTCCGCCCAGGCAAAAACTACCTGGATGGTAAATGTCTGCCTGAGAAAGCTATCCTCTGCCGTATGGGGGAATGACTCAGCACCAGGTCCAGATGGGTGTCCTCTGAGATCTATTCCCCAAGCCAGCCCCGGTGCATTCTCCTCACACTGCTCTAGTCCACTCTACCTTCCCTCTGCCAGAGCCCAAGGTAAGTGGCTACACACGAAACTTTGCATGTTGGCCCTTTAAGAGGGTGCCTGCATTTCCAGCTCTCTCTCCCTGGCAGACAGAAACCCTGCTGCTTTCCACAGCCAGATGTTATGTGGACACCTTTCTCAGTTCTGGTACTCTGGGCTGGGGAGCTCAGCTTGGGGTTTAGACCCCAGAGTTCTCAGTGGAAACCCCCAACAGCTGAAATATCCCTCTGGACCTTCAGTTGCTGCCTGTGGAAGCCCAGCCAGCCCTCCTGCATTTCAGCACTTCCTACCAGTCTCTGTGCAGTCTCCACTTTTCCTCCTTGGTTTTGAGGGTGCTCTCCAGCTCATCTTTTGTTGCAGTTGATTATTCAGGGTGGTTTTTCTGTATTTTAGTTGTAATTCCAGTTTGGTCCTGGGAGAGTGTCAGTGTAGCATCCACTCAATCCACCGTCATCTTAAATCTTGATAGCTTACTTTTAAATAGGAAAAATAAAATAAAAAATGGAGGCCAGAAGGCAGTGAGATTACATATGCAAAGTGCTGAAAGAAAAAAAGTCAAGAAAGGATCCTATATCCCCCAAACAATTTTTCAAATATAAAAATGAAATAAAAATATGTCCAGATAAAAGTGATAGATTTGTTAGCAGATAAACCTTATAAGTATACTACTGGAAGTTTTTCAGGTGTGATCCCATACAGTAATTCAAATCCACATGGAAAAAATCAAAGAGCACCAGTAAAAATAATAATTATAAAAGTATATAAATGCATATTTCTTTTCCAGTACCTTCTTTGCTGATTTAAAAAGCAATTGTTGAATAAAATAATATGTATATAATCATATTTGGAGGCCTATAACATATAAAAATGTTTGCCGGTAGTACCACAAAGAAGGTGAATGGAAACAAAGCTGTATTGGGCTAAGGAAATGACACAAGACACATGGTGATAACTCACATCCACAGGAATAAAATTGAAACATAAACAGTCAATAAAAGTGTTAAACACATCCCTGTAATTAAGTGGCACATGACTGTATATCCTTTATATACTTGTTCTCCTTTCTTATCTCAGTTTCCCAAATAAATATAGCATTATATAAAGCAATAGTTAAAATAATATATTGTTGGACTTGTAGCATATATGGGTATAATATGTATAGCAATATAGCAAAAAGGAGGAAGAAGAAATAGAGCTGCATAGGAGTACAGTGATTATCTCGCACTGGATTAAATATGAAGTAGATTCTGATAATGTAAGATATATATGGTAAGCCTCAGAACAACCACTAAGAAAATAATTTTAAAGTATGGTAAAAAAATCACTAAAAGAATTTAAATGTTATGTTAGAAAATATTCATTTAATGTAAAAGAAAGAAGAGGAACAAAAAGGAAATAAGACATATAGAAAACAAAAAGTAAAATGTCAGCAATAAATTCAACAATGTCAAAAATACTAGATGCAAATGTAGGCTAAATAATACAATCAAAAGACAAAGATTGTCAGATTGTAGTTTTTCAAAATGTTTTTTTAATTGATTTTTGAGAGAGACGGGGAGAGGGAGCGATAGAAACATTGATGAGAGAGAAACATCAGCAGTGATCAGCTGCCTCCTGCACACTCGCTGCTCAGGATCGAGACTACAACCCAGCCATGTGCCCTGACCAGGAATCCAATGGATGATGCATGTGTCAACACTCAACCACTAAGCTACACTGGCCAGGCAGACTGTATTTTTTTAAAAGATCCAACTATATATTGTCTACATGAGACATACTTTTGATTCAAAGATACAAAAATGTTTTAAGTTATTTAAAAAGATATATCATGCAAATACCACCCACATTAAAGAGAAAGATTGGGCCAAAATGCCGTCACTGGTGAATTCTATCACACTTTTAGAGAACTAATACCAATTCCTCAGAAACTCTTCAAAAAGAAACAGAAGAGAATACCCACTTTGCTTTGAGTCAAATATTAACTTAATATCAAACCAGAAGAAAGACATCACAAGGAATGAATCCTACAAACCTATTTATTGTTACAAACAGAGATGCAAAAATCCTCAAATTCTGTCATGTTCCTCATAATGATGTGTCAGTGAACAACTGACTGCATGTACAACAGTGGTATGCCATATAGCCTAAATGTGTGGTAGGAAACACCATTCAGGTTTGTGTAAGACTTTATGATGTTCACACAATAAAATTGTCTAGCAACACATTTCTCAGAACACATCCCTGTCATTAAGTGGCACATGACTGTACATCCTATTTAACTGACATAATGCTTAGAATAAATAATAAAAAAACATGTAGACAATATTGAGGCTGAATCAAGTCCATTTTTTAAAAAGAATTTATACTTGGAGGTTAGCTACTTTATCTCTGTATTTTTAATCTAAAACTGTTCACATCCAAGATATTCTGGGTAAATTACCTTGTGTTGTGCTCCCTTCTTAAATTTCCTTGTTACCAAGGCATTTGCACAATTAAAATCTCCTCCTGCAAGCCTTTAGCACACTCACTGCTCTAGTGTCCAGAAAGGTAACCCAAGTAGCAAGTAACCCACTTGCTACCTGCGGAGTTGACATATCTTTGTCTGTCCTCGTGGTTTATTTTGTTTTAAATCTGAGCTGCCATTTAAAAATCAAGAGCCATCACACACTTAAAAAAATGTAGATTTCTGGGTTCTCTGGAAGTCAGAAGAGCTGGCAAACAGGGCCTGATTTTCCTCACAGCATCAGTTAGCTGGAACTGGCCACTGGGCATCCTTCTTAACTATGTCCCAACCAGGTTCATTATTCTTTTGATACATCCAGTTTGCTAATTTCTTTAGTATGCTTGCAACAACTTCATGGATGATACTGAAAAAGAGTTTCCTTTTTTGTGTCCTCCTAATGCACATCTAACAGCAAGATTATTAAAGTTTGTATGTCATGTCTACTAATATATCAAAATTCCTTGAACACTTGGTAATGTTTTGCCTGAAAAAAATTAGGTTTGGTGCTTTGTCAATTAATAGCTTCTGTAATCACATAAACTCCCCTTTTCCTATGTGTGTAAGAGTCTCCCAAGAGATGATTTTCTTTGAGTCAACACTGGCTGCTTTAATCCTCCTAAAAATAATTTTGTCTACGTTTCCAAGTGTATCAGAGAGCAGCAGAGTGTTCAGAACAGCATTTTCAGTCAGGACCTCTAAGGCTTCTCTATCTATTTCCATATCTATTTATCCATTTTTCAAACCTAATTGCTGTTTGTCTTTCACACTTTTTCTCCAGAAGTGTCACCAATGTTTTGTCTATATTCTTATTTGTTTTAATATTAGGTATTATAAGTAGTTAAAAGGATGCTAGTCTGAATAATGTTCTTCCCATGTATTACACACATTACTTTCCCCACCAAATCCCAAGATTTCATGTTCCATAAGAAATAAATGATAGAAAAACTTCTTAATTCATTACCCTCAATAGGTCATTCTTCAATTCCATATCTTGCCTTATGTTGAGTAAGGTCTCCAGAAACAGTTGTCTTTCAACAAATAATACTAATGACAACAATGAATGTAACAATGACTAACATTCAGTGAGTATCTATTTATTATGACATGCATAATTCTAAACATTTTGTCTTATTTGACCCTTACACAAAATTATGAGGTAGGTATTATGATTATCCCCATTTTATAATTTCTACTGAGACATACATGTATAAAAACAAACAAACAAAAATCTCAGGAGGGATAAATACTAAACAGATAACATCCTTTGGGAAGGAAAATGGGTACAAGGATAGTGGTCAAAGGGTATGTTTGTCTTATTTGTAATGTTTCAATCTTTATAAGGAAAATATATTCATACATTATTTCTGCAATTAAAATAAAAGACATGATAAAAAGATATACCAAGGGATAATGTCCATCAGGGCATTGTGTATGATGGCAAAAACTCTGGAAGAAACAATAATGTCTATCACTATGGATTTAATAAAATGCTATTATAGAAACATAATGAAACACCATGAAGCCATTAAAAGGATATCTATTTACTGAGTGCAAAGTTGTTCATGAATGTTTTTACAATAAGAAAGCCTAAATTTTGTAAAGAGCAAAATGTAAGTCATCTTCAGAAATAAAGAGGTCACTTCTCTGTTATTAAAGGTACTTTAAAAATATAGGTATTTTACAAACCATGATGTAAACAGATGGACTTTACAGTCATATAAATTTAAGATGAACTAAGATTAAGAATATAATAACTACAGACAAATCAGGAGGGGAAAGAAAATGAAAATCACAGGATTACATTTCAGCATGAATTCTCTGATGTTTAAGGTTATAAAGGTGTCAAAAGTTCTGTCATTTTTAATTTTTGCTAGGTTGAATTATCTGATGTCAAGAGAAAAACAAATTTTATTAAAGAACTTCCAAAATGTATTTTACTTATGGGGTGTTGATTTTCCTACATTTATCTTGGGCTAAATAAGCTGTAGTCAACAAATAACATGCTTATACATTATCCTATTTAGAAGGATGATTATCAAGATAATTCTCTGATGTTGAATAGTTTTGAGCTGTAATTAAAAGCCTTCCCACACATTTCATATATTCTGTGGTTTATCACCAGTACAAATTTTGATGCTGAATAAGTTGTGAGGCATAATTAAAGGTCTTCCCACATTCCCTATATTCATACGGTTTTTCACCAGTATGAATTCTATGATGACTAATAAGTTGTGAACTCTGAGAATAGGCTTTCCCACATATCTTACATTCATAGGGTTTCTCACCAGTATGAATTCTCTGGTGTCGAGTAAGGTCTGAACCAGAACGAAAAGCCTTTTCACATTCCTTACATTCATAGGGTTTCTCACCTGTATGGATTCTCTGATGTTTAATAAGTTGTGAGCTCTGACTAAAGGCATTGCCACATTCTTTACATTCATAGGGTTTCTCGCCCGTATGAATTCTCTGATGTTGAGTAAAGTTTGAGCCACTACTAAAGGCCTTCCCGCATTCTTTACATTCATAGGGCTTCTCACCAGTGTGAATTCTCTGATGTCTAGTGAAGTTTGAGCCACTACTAAAGGCTTTCCCACATTCCTTACATTCATAGGGCTTCTCACCAGTGTGAATTCTCCGATGTCGAGTAAGGTCTGAGCCATAAATAAAGGTTTTTCCACATTCCTTACATTCAAAGGGTTTCTTGCCAGTATAAATTTTCTGATGGTGACGGAGTCTTGAGGGATGTCTAAAGGTCTTTCCACATTCTTTACATTCATAGGGTTTGTCAATGGTATGAATTATCTGATGTGTAGTAAGCTGTGAGTCATGTCTACACTCCTTAGTTGCACAGTATTTCTCTTTATTATGAATTATTTGCTGTAAGGATAGATCCTGATTAAAAGTGGGCATGCCTTCATGGGTGTATATTGGTTGATTGAAATGTCCCTCCTGAGAGCCATGTTGTTTCTCAAACTGGTCATTACATTCCCAATCATCTCTGAAATTAGAGCACTGAAGGTCATGTCTTGTAAGTCTTCCCATTATCTCCCACTGGGCTGACTCTATTTCATTAATTTCCTTCTTCAGAAATAATTTCTTGGTTTCATATCTTGATCCCAGGACTGAAAGAAAATATGAAAGTAATCACTCACATTTTTCTTGTTTGGGAGAAATAAAACTTCAATTAAAATGGAAGAATTAAACCATATTTTTTTAAAAAATGGACTAGAAGAGTGAGAGGGATCACATAGTAAGATGAGGGCAGAAAGTAAGCCACTGGTTTCCAAACAGTGCTACAGGTTAGAATTACATAGGGGAGCTTCTTAAATACACAGTCTTATTTCCTTTGTTATAGGATGACTCTAATCATACACACACATATACACACACTCACATATATACATACAAGAGCAAGCTACAGCATAAAGTAAGGGAAATGGTCATACCTACTTAGAGTTGACAGGATTAAATTAATATGTCAAAAGAAAATTTCTAAGGGGTTGGCAAACTATGCCTGCAGCACTGCAAAAATTTTTGTAAGTAAAGTTTTATTGGAACACAGCCACACTAATTTATTTATGTACCATGGCTTTTTTTTTTTTTTTTAATATATCTTTATTGATTTCAGAGAGGAAAGGAGAGTGAGAGAGATAGAAACATCAACGATGAGAGAGTCATTGATTGGCTGCCTCCTGCACACCCTCGACTGGGGATCGGTCCCACAACCCGAGCATGTGCCCCGACCGGGAATTGAACCCCGATCGCCTGAATCCTAGGTCGATGCTCAGCTGCTGAGCCACGCCCAGCTGGGCCGTACCATGGCTACTTTTGAGCTACAGTGGCAGAAGTGAGTAGTTGCAACAGAGACCACACTGACTGCAAGCCTAAAATATTTACAATCTGCCCTGCCAGTGTGGCTCCGTGCTTGAGCATCAACCCATGAACCAGGAGGTCACGGTTTTATTCCCAGCCAGAGCACATGCCCAGGTTGCTGCCTCCATCTCCAGTACGGGGGTGTGCAGGAGGCAGACAATTGATGATTCTCATTGATGTTCCTTTCTCTTCCTCTCCCTTCCTCTCCCTGAAATCAATAAAAATGTATTTAAAAAATCACATATTAAAGTATTTACAATCTGACCCTTTAAGAAAAAGTTTGCTAGCCCCTGGTTAGATGTGTACTGTCCATTACAGTACCCACTAGCATATTATCTATTTAAATTGAACATAATTAAAATTAAATAAAAATTCAAAATCAGCCCTATGCACATTTCTGGTGTTCAATAGCCAAATGTAGCTAGTGGCTACCATGCTGGAAATCACAAATATAGAACATTTCCCTCGATGAAAGTTCTATTTGATAGCACCTTTCTAGATGCAGTACGTAGAGGCCCAGGGTCTCTTTAACAAATGATAGAGGGTAGCAATTCACATGGGAAAATAGCTTAAGAAAAGTCAAATGTTGAATGAATCTCGCATGAGTGGTATATAGGAAGGAGTCTTTTGTGGCTAGATAATATATTTGGGGTTTGATGAACACACTATGTGCCTTGGGATTCTGCGATGCTGATATTAGAAGGAAAGGACTTAACACATGCACAAGCACTACAGTGGTGCTGACCAACTGACAGGAAGGGCATTTGCATGTTCAAAAGGAAGAAAAGACAATATAATGGAAGGCAGTGTATTGCTATTGAAAGATGAGAGGCACAAGAGTCAGTTATATGAGTTTTGAACTAAAACCCAATTAATTACAAGCATTGTTTTCTGGACAAATTAGTTCATCTTTCTGAGCCCCCAATTCTATCTTTAACATGGGAATGATAACTAACACGATCATTGTGAGGATTGGGAATAACATATGAAAAGTATTTAGTATAAAATAACCATTTTGTATTTGAGAAATACTATTATGAAAGAATTTCTATACAAACATGGGAATGTTAGGGAAGTGTAGTATTTTTGGAAGAGCATACTATGGACCCAGAGGGAAACCTCAAGTCAAAGAAGTGAAACTCATTCTAGTGCCATCATCTTCCTCTTCCTCTCACATATGACTCAGCAAATACTGTTTAATCTTGCTCCTAATACAGCAAGAAGCTCTTCCCTGTGTCTTTACTGCCTAATGTGAAATCTCTCTCCCTGGGACTACTGGGATAGGCTTCACCTAGTTTTCCCACTTGAGGTTTACAATCTCCAACCCACGTTCCTGCAGTGGCATTGCCTGCCACTGCTCTGCTTGCAGTTCTTCAGTGGATTCCCGTGATACTGCTTTTACAGTAAAAACTAGCCCCTGAGCATGGTCTACAAAGCTCTGAGCCATGTGATTCCTGCCTGCCTCTTCAACCAAATCTCACAGCATGCTCCCTTTTCGTTTCTAAGCTCCATCTAAACTTTCAGTATTTTGCAGTTCTTCAAACACTCCCCAGCTCTTAGTCCCTCTTAAGGCCTTTCCAGGTACTACTGTTCCTTGTGTCTAGAAGGTGTCTTCTTTCACTACTGGCCTTGATCACTATTGCTCATTTTCCAGAGCTCTACTTTTAAAGGTCATACGTTTTTTACGTCTTCCCTGATCCCAGCACAAAATTATACCCTCCTTGTAATTACCGTTTTAGTAGTCTGTTCTCTTCCTTAATAGGATTTTCACAATTTGTAATTACATTTGTAATTTAGGTTCATTTAATATCTTTTTCCCTCTAAAGGTCTTAAGTTTTGTGAAGGCAAGAAAAGTGTCTAATGTCTTTATCAATGTGTATTCAATGCTGAGCACAGTATCTTGCACATATTGGAAGATCAACAAATATTTATTGACTGACTCAATTAGCACATATACTCCTTAATAATAAAGTCTAAAAAAATTCCTCTAGAAAAAAAGGACATATTCTTTTCAAACATGGCACACTGAATATATGCATTCGTTACTACTCTTCCATGAAGTCCACTAAGTGAGAGTAATTAGATTAAATGAAAGAAGAAACTCCATTAAGAAAGAGAATGGGAGAGGAAGGAGCAGCAAAAAGATTTTGGAAGCTAGAGAGTAGATGGAATAGGAATAAATGATGTTAACAACCATAAAAAAATTGAAATAGACGTTGTTGATTGGTCCTATTGTAGAATCCCAGACATTTTCAAGAACTGCAATCATTAGGTACCTTTAAAAAGTAGGGTGTATAAGGTAAACTCTTCTAGGAAGATCATTTCCAATAAATCTACACATCCTTACAGACCAACAAGCTCTAATCAGCTTTTTAATGCCACGGTGCTTTATATGCAGATAGCCTTGAGTTACTAGCTATTTCGGGAAAATCTTAAACATGAGGGATTAAAATAAAAAGAAAAAAAGAACTCAGGAAAGAGTCAATAGCAAATTTTTTTTTTAATTCATAAGAAGAATGCTTCTAAAAACAACATATAACAATCCCACAAGAAAATGATGTCAGAAAAAGAAATATTCAAAGAAGAAAAATGTTTTGTATAAAAATTAATTCAAGGATTAGAATGTAATAAAATCCCACAGAAAGCACTACATAAAAAGAGAGATGAAAAAAAAGAATTCTAGGGCTAGGGCAAGAAATTTAAGATTTGAATTATCAGTGTTCAATCATTTAAAAATTTAATGAGCCCTTCCTATGTATCAGACATGGTACCAGTCACTGGATAGAAAAAGTAAACAAAGCTTGAGACATAGAGAACAGAGAAAACGATGGGGAACAAATGATCAAGAAATTTTCAATTATTTAAAGTTTCTAGAATAAAATGTCTCAGTGTGTGCCCAGCCAAATGGAAGAATAAAATCAACATCATGATAACTAAACACGAAATATCAGAACATCATAAATAAAGAATAAATTATAAAAGCTTCCACTCAAAGCCATTAAACAAGTCGCATAAAAGAACTAAAAACCTAATGGGTTTTGGACCTCTCAAAAACACTAAATGCTAGAAGATTTCAGAAATCCATGGCGCAATGTCATCAAAATTTTGAAGGCAAGTTTTTTAACCTAAAATTACATCTCCAGTCAAATTATCAAACATGAGAGTGAAATGAAAACATTTTCAGACATGCAGGGATCCACAAAACATACTATTTACTTCTCTTGCATACTTTCCTTGGTGCTTTTGGAAGATGTGCCTCAGTATGAGGGAATAAACCAAGAAAGGAGGATGCATGAGATGCCAAAAACAGAAGAGGGTCAAAAGGGGAGAGGTAAAGGGAATCGATGGGACGATGCTAAGGGATTCCATGCAATGATCATGAAGGGAAATTCTAAAATGACAGCTATGTAACAGTCTCGACTGGGGCACAAGAACAAAGGATTAGAAGGATGTCTCAGTTTAAAAATACACCAGTAGGGGAACCCTGGTACACTGCTGGTGGGAATGCAGACTGGTGCAGCCACTATGGAAAACAGTATGGAGGTTCCTCAAAAAATTAAAAATGGAGCTGCCTTTTGACCCAGTGATCCCACTTCTGGAAATATATCCTAAGAAGCCTGAAACACTAATCAGAAAGAAAATATGCACCCCTATGTTCACAGCAGTGTAGTTTACAATAGCTAAGATCTGGAAACAGCCCAAGTGCCCATCAGCAGATGAGTGGATAAAAAAGTTGTGGGACATTTACATCATGGAATACTACGCAGCTGTAAAGAAGAATCTCGTACCCTTTGGGACAGTATGGATGGACCTGGAGAGTATTATGCTAAGTGAAATAAGCCAGGCAGAGAAAGACAAACATCACATGATCTCGCTTATACGTGGAATCTAAAGAACTTAATAAACTGATAAACAGAATAGATTCAATGACATGGAAGCATGGATCAGACTGACGAATGTCAAAGGAATGGAGGAGGACGGGTGGGTGGAGGGGGAGAGAGTAACCAAAGAATTTATATGCATATATACACAACCCAGGGACACGGACAATGGTGGGGAGAGGGGTTGGGGAGGGGAGTGGGATGGGGTGGAACGGGTCATTGGGGAGAAAAAGGGACATCTGTAATATTTTAAACAAAAATAAAATTTAAAAAATACACCAGTTATGCCTGGCCGGCGTGGTTCAGCAGTTGAGGATCGACCTATGATCCAGGAGGTCGAGGTTCGATTCCCGGTCAGGGCACATGCC